CTAATTTATTTATTTGCTTTTTTTTTTTTTTTTTTTTTTGCTTTTAATTAATTCATTTTTCATATTGTAATCGATTGTATAGCCGGTTTTAGGATGAAAAGATATTTGAGAAGTTAATTCATTGATTGAATTAACGCTATTGGTTAAGATGATGATCAAATTGAAATTCATCATCCTCATCAACATATAAAAACCGGATTTTATTTGACAATTTTGCTTGTCATGATTGCAAAAATCCTGTTCATTAAACCAAACTAAGCAATGCTATTTCATCCTCATGAAATGCTTTTATACTTCACATAAATACTAAATGCATCTTTTTGTTAAAAATATTTTGTTATGAATCGAATAAATTTATTTCTTTATAATAAAATTTAAAACTTTAATTATTACCAAAAGTATTACTTTTAAGTTTTTTAAACTTGCTTTTTTTTTTGTTTATTAATTATTTTAATTCATTTTTTTTTTTTGTTTTGAATGATAAAAATTATCAAAAAAGAAAAAAGGAGTAAACTATATATTTTAAATGGAAAAAATTGCAATTTAAAATTGAAACTTTGATGAAAATTTTGATAAGTTTTAATTTATATTAAATGAAAAAAATAGTTATGAAAAAAGTCTTAATTTTTACATCTTTAAAAATTTCTTTTCTTAATTATATTTAATTTGAAATGAAATAAAAAGAAAAATTAATTTTATAATTTTTCAACTATCTCAGCTATGTAACATTTTGTGCAATACATTTTCTCACTCACAATTGTGATATGTTTTTTATTTTTTCATTCGTTTTTAATTATAAACACTTAATTAATGGTTATCATTATGCAAAATTTGATTTGTCATATCTCGGAATTTTCCGTGACATTATTTTTACATCATTAAATGATAGATGAACTTGGAATAATGTCAAATGTTTAAGATTTATTTATTGTATTCATTTATTTTACTCAAAGTTAATTAAGCTATTAATTAGAATAGTTTGTACGGAATACATAATTAATTATAGCAGTATATCAAAAATGATATTGAATTAAAACTTCTTAATAATTACTTCATATTGCATGTTTATTTTTTATCCAGCTTTCAATTTTTAATTTTAATTAATTAATTACTACTACTGTAACTTTTCGTTTGTTTTGTTTTTTTCCCCGCTCTATCCCAATTGTAAATCCTAATTAAATTGATTAATTTCAAAATTTAGTCCACTTCTAATCCAAGTTCGATGCCTTGTTACATCATTTGCTAAAATAACATTTCATTACATTCCCCAATAATTTTATCCCATCTTATATAATATCAAATATTATTTCTTATTTCTCTTTTTTTTTATTGCATTTTTTTCTTTTTACAATTTTCATCCTAAAATTAATTTCATATAAATGAATGGCAATACTAAAATTAAATTAAAATTGATAATATTTTTTTATTTTTTACTTCAACTAAATTGATAATATTTTTAGATTTTAATTTTTGGAAGCATTTCGCTTCATTTAATTCCTCCTTGTGAGGAAATGTTTAAAATAGGAAATTTATTTATGGTATTCGAACTATTCATCTCATATTTAGCAGGTTTGTTACGCTTTGTTTACAACATTTTGCAATCGTTATCATTCCATTTATCAGTATCATTATTATCATTATTTATCATTTATCATTATTATATTCACTACCATTCCATTTATCATTATTATTATTATCAACATTTATTATTTGTCATTATTATAATCATTGATTATCATTTTGTTTATTAAAATTTAATAGCACTGACATTTCCGATTGAAAGTAGGAAATTTGAAATGGTAAAAATTGCATAATTCATAATGCTCCACAAATTTATCTATCTTACCTGCATTAGAATAGCCTAAAAAGTTAATACTGTAAGTAAGTATTCAAGTAAAACAATTTCAAAAACTTGAAATTTTAATTTGCTCTTCATAATTCAGGTATTGATGGATATGTATTAGAATCAACTGCTCTTACAGAATTTGATTTTGAAAATGCTGAATTACTAACAAAAGGTAATCAATTACTTTTATTGGGGAAGGGAAAAAAGAAAAGTCTAACAAATTCACAAAAATTTTTTGCGCATATTTATTAATGAATTGAAACTTTATCGAAGTAAATTTAAAAATGAAAACTAAGGAAGCATTCGGAAAAATATTTGCATATTAAAATTTCATTTAATTTTAAAACTTATCATTTAATAAAATGAAAAAATTCAAAAATTTCCTTTGCTTCACAGACGAATTATATAATCCGAATGCTCTTTCGCTTGAGGAGGTAAACAAGCATCGATCAGATATACGAGGTCCAATTGCTTCTAAAAAACGATTTCGACGAAATGGTATTAATAAGCCAACAAAATTATGGCCTGGCGGTAAAATACCATATTCCATATCACCACATTATACGAATTTAGAACGAGCTTTATTAGCTAGAGCTATAAAACAGGTATTTCAATTTTAATATTAAATAATTAAAATTTTTCAAAGATGAAGATATACTATATCCTCAATAATGGATGTAAATAGCTCTTAACTCAAACAATCATTAATTTTAATAATTTTGATTTCAATTTTTTTTTAAAATAATTTTGATTTCAATTAAAGCTAAAAAATTGTTTATTAATTCCTAAATTAATAAATTGGGGTGAAATTTTGATAACTTGAAATCATAAACTTATTTATTAATCTCAAAAATTAATAATTTTTACAAAAAATTTTTTTTACAAAAAAATTTCTTTTTTTTTTTGTTGCTTAAAACAAATTAACATCTTTGCTATCTGAATTAATACATTTGTATTTGTTTATTAATTTTATTATTAACATAACAATTTCCGAATTTGCAATCCGTAATTTTTTTTTTCTGGAAATTAATTTTTTGTTCTTAATTTTTTCTTGCAGTATCATGACAAAACATGTCTTCGATTTGTACCACGTTCACTCTATGAAGGTGATTACCTTTTCATCGGTAAAATTGATGGGTATGTTGTACAATTTTTTATTTTTTTTAAAATAAAACCATTTTAGTATTAATTAAAAAATTTGTTACTTTGAAATTAACTAATTCAAACAATTTCATGAAATTCAAAATTTTAAAAATTCAAATCTTAACTAATTAATTTGCATCATTTTTGGCTACCGTAACATTGATATTCATTCATTCAATTGTTATAAACTCTTTTTTTTTTAATTTCAATTGATAGATACGAAATCAATGTTACATGTTGCAAAAAAAAGTAAAATATTAGTTAGTATTAATTTGACAAATGTAATTAAATGGTAAAAAAAAAGTGCAAAAAGCAAAATGCAAAATGAAAAAGCAAGATGCAAGATGTAAAATGCAAGATGAAAAAGCAAGATGCAAGATGTAAAATGCAAGTAAAATATAATATTTTTAACAAATTTTTAGATGTTTTTCGGAGGTTGGACGAACAAATGGTGTACAAGTGTTATCACTAGATGACGGTTGTTTGGAATATACAACAATCATTCATGAAATGATGCATGTTGTTGGATTCTATCATGAACACGGTTAGCTTTCCGGTATCACTACTGAAAGTTTAACAATTAAAGTGAAATATTTTGCTTCCGGAAATTCATCCTAGATGAGTAAAAACATATAATGAAATTACTGAAACAATTAATTTTCTATCATACCTGATTTGTTTATTTTAATTAAAAAGTTAGAGAAACGATTGATTAGTCATGCGACAAAAATTAGCATATTCCCGAATGATTTTAGCTGTAACAGAAAAGAAAACAAACAGGCAAAACCGGATTTTTTTTTAAAATAACGATAAGTAAATTAACAGTTATCGATTTATGAAAAGTAAATTATTAAATATCATTAGGTAACAATTACTGCTCGAATATCAAAAATTCTGGTGATTGATTAAAGCGGCAATAATGATTAACTTAATTGATTGAATTAAAATTATTCAAATTTGAATACAAATATTATAAAAAATTTATCATAGTCATAAAATTTACTGGCTTAGAAAAAAAAAGTCTCTTTAATTTCTTTAATTTTTTTTAAGCTTAATAATTAAATTAATTAATTTTTCCATTTATAGAACGATGGGATCGTGACGATTACATTAATATTTTTTGGAAGAATATCGATCGCAGTATGTATATTAATCAATAAACTTTTATTAATTTATATCAATTTTTATTTAAATTATCATTAATTAGAGAGAGAGAATGAGGGAGAGTATAATCATTTATCTTCATTTTCAAAAAAGAAAAAAAATTTAAAAATTTCCAGTTTTATGACTAATTCCAAAATTCTACGTTAAACTTTATTTATCTTGGAAATTTAATTTAAACATAAAAGTAAAATTATTAAAAAGCAGGAAATGACCTTTTTTTTTTTCGCATGATATGAATCAAAATTTTCTAACTCCTATTGATGACAATCATTTGTCCTCAAAATATTGTCATCGTTTAATTTTTAAATATATAGTAATATCAAATGTTATTTGCATAATACATTTGTTTATATCATTTTACATCATTTAAATACAATCTTTGTTGAAAATTATAGCAGCAATTGATCAATTTGGAAAAGTTGACCTAACAAAAACTTCATATTACGGTCAACCGTATGATTATCGTTCCATTTTGCATTACGATAGTTTGGCATTCAGTAAGAATGGCTTCCCAACAATGCTTCCAAAACAAAAAGGCATTCATTCATTTCTATTAAGACAAAAAAAAAAATCTCTGCAAAAGAAAAATTTTAATAATTCATAAAAATTCACTCAAAAATATTACCAGAAATAGTGAAATGGATAAAAATAAGCGGTTTTGTCAATCTATAACTCTAGGCGTATTAGGACACATTTATATAAGGATAGGCCTGCATGTATGGGACACATTCATATATGGACAGGCTTGCATGTATGGGACACATTCATATATGGATGGGCCTGCGTGTATGGGACACATTCATATATGGACAGGCTTGCATGTATGGGACACATTCATATATGGATGGGCGTGCGTGTATGGGACACATTCATATATGGATGGCCTGCGTGTATGGGACACGTTCACATATGGACAGGCTTGCGTGTATGGGACACGTTCATAAAAGATGGG